ACTATCTAACATATTTTGTTAGAGGTGCAAGGTGGGCTTTAAGTGTGCGTGCGCAATTGTGTGTCTGTGTATATATATATATATATATATATATATATATATATATATATATATATATATATATATATATGTATGTATGTATGTATGTATATGCACACACACACACACATATATATGTATTTATATACATATGTATATATATGAAGAGATGGGTAGTATCGCAATACATGTATATGTATGTATCGATACTTTTGTATTGGTATCGGTATCATCTTAGCTACTTGATATCAGTATCGTTTTTTTCAGCATCATTAGGGTTTTTTTTTCTCAAGATGCATCGAAAGAAATCGATACATCGATATATTTACATGACTCTCTCTCTCTCTCTCTCAGTATCACTTTCTCTCTCTATCCATCTTTCCTTTAATTTCTATCTCATTTTTTTTCTTTCTTTCACTCCCTCCCTCCCTCACACTCTCTCTCTCTATATATATTTATACCTTAATTTCTTTCTCTCTCTCTCTCTCTCTCTCTCTTCCTTTATTTATTCATTTATTAATTTCACTCGTTCGTTCAGTCAGTCACTCTCTCTCTCTTTTCCTTCCTCTCTCTTAATTTCTTACTCTCTCTCTCTCTCGTTCTCTCTCCCTCTCCCTCTCCCTTTCTATTTCACTCTCTCTCTCTCTCTCTCTCTCTATATATATATATATATATATATATATATATATATATATATATATATATATATATGTAAACGCTAGAAGTTGTATAGCGTTTATGTGCTGTGATAATCGTAATTTGTTGAAAGCGATATAATTTGTAATAGTGAATATTAGCCAAACTTGGAGGTAAGCATGTGGCATATTTGCAACTGGAAAATGTGTAATGATTTAAGCTTTTTGTATTTAGTGTTGAAGCAATGGTTTTAATAATCGAGGATATCAGAATTATCTCTTTTCTGCCATGGAAATCTATAATATAAAAGAGCTGTAATATTTTGCCTAGAATGGGAGTTTCATGTTTAGAAATACAACACCATCAGGACGAGGAAGCCATTATTATGACGGTTAGGCAAAAATCTGCTAATTTTGTAAAGGCAAAAATGCTGTCGTAACTTAGCCACATGGGCAATAGGATTATTGACATTTCTAATTTTCTTTTGAAAAAGCCAATTGCCAAGGATAGGATTAGAAGGATATGTCTTGAAAAAATAACCTGCCTTGTAAACTGAAGGAAGGATAGGAATAAAGAACAGTTGCAACAGTGGGGTTCATAAAATCATAAAGAATTTACACACACACACACATATATATATATATATATATATATATATATATATATATATATATATATATATATATATATACTATATATATATATATATATATATATATATATGATGTATATAATATATATATATATATATATATATATATATATATATATATATATATATATATATATATATGGTCTCCCTAATCTGAAACAGACTTTGTTAGATAGCTTGGCTCATGAACTATCAATGCTGACAACGATATTCACTTCTTGAGGTTTTGTCAAGGTGATAATATGAATTTCATAAAAGATAACAAAAGGGCCTTTTACCCCATGCCTGGGGCAAAAGGCCTACATAATATAATATATTCTATTGCATCAATAGAACAACAGTGATAAAGAAAATAATAGTTTTTTTTTATTAAAGCATAAAAATAGGTATTTCATCCATATACAACGCACACCAACTTTATATTTTAAATATAATCCCAATAATTGATATTTTTCACACGGGAGTGCTACATATGTAAGAAATCATGAACTAAAATATTCACTTAGACAATAAATATGGGTGACTTTGCAAAATATTGCTTATTGTTTATTCATAGACTCGCGATAATAATCCCTATTCTCTACAAAATTATAACTAGTTTCTTCCATCAGTCAAATAGTCTGTATAAACTGTAGCTTCCTCTAATGTCTGGCTGTCAGTTTATCAAAAAACAAAAGTTTTTTTTAACGCTTAGGCCTACTCAATCTTCTAACTCTCAGTTGTGACATATGTACAATCAAATCCTGGTGTACAGTCGTCGTGGGACCATTTCTTGCAAACTGTAAACTGTACAAATTTTTCAGAGGATCTCTTGCTAGCAAAAGATGCCCTACACACTTGGCGGGGCCAATCACCATCAGAGGAAACTGGACTTGGAGTCTTCCTACTTTTTTGCTTTGAAGGGTAAACAGCCCCATACTAGGCTTTTTGCCCACAGCACTGTAGGCCTTTTACCCCAGACACCATGTTGATGTACATCAACCTTCACTCATCTACAACTATATTTTAACGGTTGAATTGTAGTGCAAGATATTCTTAAGTCCTCGTAAGCTCTATCAATAGCCATAATATAAGCAATACACAAAAAGATACCTGTCCAACCTACCACTGACAAAACACTGCACTTACACGGAATGTGCTCAAAAGAGAAAAACACATGTCCACTTCCCTGACTGGCTTCCACTAAGTTGTTAATGCAGAACAGCACTAACAGATGATGGAGATACCCTGATCAGCTAACTGGGATAAACAAGTAGGTAATAAGGGAGGAACAAGAGGGAGGCCTTTTACCTCGCAGGGGCCTTTTACCCCACCTTACCCTATATATATATTCACATGTGTGCGTGTGTGCGTGTGTGTATGTATATTTTTACGCGTGTTTTTTTTCGCTCGCTCGCGTTATCGACAGTGGCGCTCAAGAAGTATGAGAGAGGCATTAGACTCTCCCCTGTCTTCCTTGAACGCACATGTCAGTGTAATGTTGTAATTGCCGCTGTGATGTAAAAGTCATCAAATATCCACGCATGGCTTTGGAAAACACTTTTGCTCCAATAACTTTGGACAGTGCATTAAACGCCATAATCAAATATTTATATATCAGACTGTTTTCTTACAATAAAGTATCGGCGATGCTGTATCGGCGATGCATAATTGGAATCGCTTACGCCAATTTTCAAGTATCGGTGCATCGTTTTCGCCTTAGCGCCGTACTATAAAAGCATTCGAACGGCGGCGGTCGAACGGAGGCGCTCGCGGTCTAGCGCTCACGAGCGACTCGAATCCTTACTCTAAAAACAAGGCAACGCCAAGGATCGCCAGCGCCACTGCTGGCGTTCGGCCGCCACGAAAAGTGCTAAGTTTGACAATAACCGCTACTATCTAGCGAATCAAAACAAAATTGGCGTGAAATTCATCTAGGCTATCACTTCAAATACCAATAAAAAATTATTAACCTACAGCTAATCTTACAGAAAAAAGTGCATTCACATGCACTTACACCTTAATACTGCCACACATATTCATAATCTTTCTAACATATGCAAGCAGGCATATACACATACACAGTATTTATAATGCCTGCTTTTATCCCCTTAATCCTTCTCACCTGCCAATTTTACCCTTATTTCCCTCTCATTGTAATTTTAATTGTTAATAGTATTACTACTTACATGTTCATTTGTAGGAATAATAACCCATTGTTAAATGACCATGTTTATGTGAAATTTTCACAAATTAATCTTCTCTGATACATATCAAATGCCTTCTCACAATCAAATTCATGATTCTTCAATGAATTGCATCATATCTTAGTTCAGAACCTCTAGTAGGGTTGCTTACATTAGAAATAAGATATGAGGGCATACATACAATATTTTCAAGCAAACATTCTATGTACTGAGTTTGCTCTAATTCTGTGCTGCAGTCAATGTTTACCAAAAGTCTGCAGTTTTTGCAGATGTCATATATAATTCTAAAATAGGATCACATGCACACTGTGTCTCTAAAATGCCAATTTCCCCTGATACACCAGGAAACTCAGTAATACCCTGACATTTTTGACTGAGTGTTTGCATGGCTGCTATCAGGAAGGAGATTTATCGTTGGAAAGTGCTTGCATCTTACTGTAATATTTCCTTGAAACATATTCACAAACTCCTGGGATCATTCAAGATTATGTGCTAATTTCAATTGCAGTCCACATGTACCCATTCACCTCAAAGTAATAGGAATGGAACACCTATAAGTATTAAAGTAATATCAAAGTTATGTATATGCCCATACATAAATATGTACATTTGATATATATATATATATATATATATATATATATATATATATATATATATATTATATATATATATATATAGTGTTGGGATAGATTCTAACATACGCAGTAAAGTCTTCTTAAATATTTCGATTGTAAAATAATTACTAAATGATATAAAAACACTATCCAACACTATCGTTTTGCCTATAATGAAATAAATATTCGTTAAGTGTAGGCTTAACAGTATAGAAGAACATTGTCTTACGCCACCATGAAAGACACATTCATGCTTGCGCTCCACCGCCACTCAGGTTCCAATAATATAACGCCAGTTCGGGGCGTCGGAACGCCAGGTGTTCGAAGTTCGGGATTTTAAAGTACGAAACTGGTCCACCGCCACTTGAACGCCACCGCCAGTGTGGCGGTAGACTTTTAAAGTACGGCCCTTAACGATTTGTGTATCGATGCCTCTCACTGTGTATGTGTGCGTGTGTTTACACACACCTATATATACATATGCATACACACACACATGCACATACTCCCACACACATGCACACACTCACACACACATGCACACACTCATACAAACATGCACACTCATACAAACTGAAGGGGTGTTAATTTTTCCTTATACACTCCTCATATATATTATGTGAGAGGTGCGCAAGGAGAGAACACCCCTTCACATATAAGGGTTAATTCCAGACGAACGAGTCACTATATAACAATATATTATAAATCAAGGGTTATATTGCACACAATATAAATAATATAAAAGACACAAGAAGTATATATAACACAAATATGTAAAGAGACACTGAAAGAAGAAACACGGATATGCCAACACAATCACAATACTCATGCAGATGGCACAGAGAGAAATGTTACTGGAGCTTGACAGGT